ATCTTCTCTATTCTATAGGCCATTTGATTGCACTGTGGCCTCGAGGACAGTTCTTAGATACACCAGCAACGCCGAGAGCTCTCAAGCTTGTGATGTGGGCAGTGTGCTCAGCCACGACCCAGTTGATGTGCCCCCAAGGTTGTGTCTGCTCCATAGGCTTAGATCATTCTGGAAATGCCAGTTGAGAACCAAGAGGCGGACCTCACTTTGAGACCTAGCTTTCTGCGGACCTCAGTGTCTCTGCCTCCAAAGAGAGTGATCTTCTCTAAGGCCCTTCTAGTGTGCACACCTGTGATTCCGGGATCTGGGGAGGAGACAGGACTGCAGGTGTACACCACCCACCTGGCCTTGCAGGAGGCTGAGGAAACACCAACTCCAGGAGTGGCTTTGTCCTAAGGGCGGAGACGTCTCCTTGGCCCCTTGTGCTGGGGCTGCCCCACAGCCTTCTCTGCTGATACAAAGCCCCAAGGCCAGCATGGGGGGCGGGGAGGGCGGTGGCACCGGGAAGCTGGGCTGCTGCATTCAGGGGTTGGGGTGATGGAGCACACCAGATAGCAAGGGTCATGAATGTCAGTGGTGACCAGTAATTTGGGGAAGTGTAGAGTAGGCACAGGTAAACAGCCAAATCCAACTCGGGTGCTCAGCTGACACTGGGGTGGCCATCCTTTTTGAGAGGGACCTTTCTCTGCTCCAATTTCTCTATTAACTCCTTCCACTTGGTTTCTTCTGTCTAGTCTCACCTCCCAAAATGTCACCTTGATGATTCTCCCTTCTGATCCCCTTGCTATTATGTGGTTATAATTGTCTTTAAACTGTGAAATGTGTCACATATGCGGAAGATTATGTAATGATATAAATATGTGGTTTCGAAGATAATAAAATGCATAGTGTCTCCACCAGCAACTTTAAGGAAAGCAACAAGCCCTCTGCCTCAGAAGCCCTTGTTTGCCCCCTGGACCAAATTCTTCCCCACTGAAGCCACCCTGGCTCCCTCCTGTGGCATCTTCTTTTTCTTGCTGTTCTGAAAATGAACCTCCAAGAACACCACTGCCAGAGAAGGTGATGAGGCATCTAGGTCAGAGCTTCCTTGACGTTCCCTGAGAATTGGTGAGAGCCCCTTCTGAGAAGACTTGAGTGAGTCCTGCAAAAACTGGGTTCCCCGTGGTCAAGGTGAGCACCAGGGCTGTCCCCAGAGGAGGCCCGCAGAGACTCGTCTCAGTCAGGAACAAGCTGCTGGCACTGATTCCACACTTAAGAGTAGATTTCTAGAATGAAGCAATGCTAAACCCATCTGTGTGACGAAGACAGACTCTAGCTGGCCTGGCAAGTAGGTGAGCATGGGAGAAACAAGAATGAAGATCAGACCCCATGCTGTCCTCTACCAAGCATCAGTGAGAGCTCACAATTGTCCCCTTCCCATCCTGGATGCGCAGCTCTGGTATCCAGCCCTCTAAGTCTGCTGCTGGTTGTCATCCTGGTACCATCCCTGAGTTTCTGCAGAACATCCTGGGAATTTTTAAAATTTATTTCCTTGAGTTTAATTTCTGTCCTTTGAATGATCCTTCTGTTTCCTGTATCATGAATGAAGAGAAAAAAAAAACTGAGTCCAGATCCAAATTCTCCCCACAGGCATGTGTGTGGGTTTACCTTCTCTGTTGGTTCTGGGTGAGGAATAAAGTTGCAAAATCTGTGTGGTCACAGACTATTGACGAGTCCATCTGAATTGGTCGGGGACTTAGTGAGGAGTTGCGTGGAGATGCAGACACTGAGGGCTGACATGTGAAGACAGCATGAACTTCACCCCTCTTTCAGTTTTTCTTGCTGGAGCCCTGGCCTGCTTCCTCAACTCACCCATCCTCCCACCCCCCAACTCAGCTGGTACCATTTTGTGTTCATACCATTAGGGAAATGGCCTCAACTGTGCTTGTTCATAACCCTTCTATCAAGTTTTCATGTTTTAATTTCCTAGAACACTTTTATTTTCAAAATGTATGGTTTTAGGTTTTTTGTTTGTTTTTTAGCATACTCTACTCGCATCTTATGGAGGCTAGTGTATTGTTGTTGGGTTTTTGTTTTCCCTTCCCACAAAATTCTAATCCCTCCAGCTTCCTCTCTTTCCCACACCTTATGTCTGGTCTTCTAGTACAAGTAGAGGCTTTATACTTGGGTAGTAATAAGACATTAAAAATTGCAAGATATTTGCCGGAAATGAAAGCTGCTCTTTTGGACTGACATTTTTAAATCCAGATCATCGACTAATAGTCACTCATTGCTCTCAAGTTGGAACCAAGTCCTTGCTGGCCCTGTAGCAGGCTTTCCGAAGGCTTTCCGAAGGCTGGCCATTGCATGGGAGGAGACTTTATCCTGCAGAGCCTCTGGTAGGTCAGCAGTAAAAAGGAGCTGCCTTTGTGTTAACAACACAGCTCTTTATTGACTGCATCACCAGAACTCTCTGCTACTGATCAGGATGAAGATAATAGATATTTTCCAAGTTTGTAGCTT